CATCCCAAAACCTGCCCCATAACTTTATTCGCTTTCTTATTTATAACTTTACTAAGTTTATATGAACTCTTAATTTNCCTTTCTTCATAGCCACATCTAAACACCTAAAAACAAACATCTAAAAAAAAAAAAAAGAGTCTCATTTCCATATCTCCACAACATACATCATAACGCTTTTTATCAAGCTCTCAAACCTGCTCAAACCAAGCTTCCCATCCCAAAACCTGCCCCATAACTTTATTCGCTTTCTTATTTATAACTTTACTAAGTTTATATGAACTCTTAATTTTATTTCCATGGACTAGAGATTGTATCTCGATAAGTACCAATCTACAAAGATAACCAATCTATTGTTTTTGGCAGAACTTGATTGAGAACATAAATTTGTCAACAATATTTTTATTGATTACAAAGCTTATAAAATGAACTATTTTTTAATTTACATAACTATGTATAATGTACCTGTATATTAACAAAAAAAATGTGGTGATATGGACTCTTTGTAATTTTTTGTAAATAATACAACAAATTTATTATATTATGATATTTACACAAATTTGATATATGTATTTTTTGAATATTTTATGATAAGATAAAATAAGACAGTTTTGATGAGAAATCATTAATTTTTAAGGAAAATAAATGAATGTCAATAAGTAAAAAATCAACAAGGATTTAAATAGCAATCTTTAAAACCTAAGTTTTCATACTCGCTGGTTTGCCATCTATCTTTGTCATTACGATTACGTAGTTTATCATCGACCATTTTTAAAAGATGCTCTATATCAGTGTCATGGGCATGCTCCATAAATACTTGACACAGGTCATTGATGTACCAAGAACCTTCGATTGTATGTCGATAAGCATTATAATCTACAAAGAAAATTCAAGTTTCACTTTAGAAATTTGTTGGTTTTTAAATTAATTACCTGGTACAGTACAATAACATATTAGGATGTCCTCTATTTTTCGTGGAACCAAAGATGTGTCAATTTGTACGTCGCTTTTAGCACTCCTTAAAATCAGAATAGTTTTATTATTTAAAAATCAATTTAATAAATTTCTTTGTAAACTTACCTACAGCACTGAAAAATGAAAATTTTCGGTTTACCAACCATCCCTTTACACTTATCTTCATAAAATTGTTCTACAATCCATTTGGTACTTATATCTTCACCATCAGTTGTAACAATCATCGTTTCTCCAGCTTTTGTACTACCATGACTCATAACAATAGTGGCACATATGTCGTATTTTTTTAAATCTGGATCAGTAGCGAACGATTTTACGATTTCTTCCATTTCTGATTTGGTTCTATTTATGGCTTCCACAATGTAGAAACCCAGTTGTTTAAAAAGTTCTTTAACATTCTCATGATCTACGTTAGCGCCGTTTCTTGTCTTTTCTCCGCTTTCAAAGTCAATGTTAGTAATGAGTAGTAACATTCCACGATTATGTGGCGATAGTGTGTTATAAGTTGGATATTTTGTGTTCAACCCATGAAAATAAATTCCAGTCTTTTTAATGTTTATTTTTAATTTGTTCTCCGGCTCTGATTGGCATGGTAAACAATTTTCTAATTTTCTATTGTAATCACTATCGATTTGTGTTGCAACTTGCAGCTCCTCTATTTCGATTGGTAGACATGCACTTAAATAACATAAGTTTATGAACTCATAAGAAATTACAAATATTTTAAAATTAATTATTTTGTAACTTACTTATCTTGTTCCACCTCGCTTAACATTGTTCGTTTATGAAATTAGAAAATTGAATCGAAATGTTTCAAATAAACTGCAGCCAAATCTACGATTTTATTGCAATAAATATGCTGCCATTATCAAAATAGTTTTAATAAATCAATTAAATACAGGAAATGATTGATAAATGTTTATTATCCGGAGATTAACATAGACAATAGTGCTCATCTTTTTTATCAAGAAGTAGATTAGATGTACGATACGAACCCTAGAAATGAGTGACATGAATGAGATTGGAAAAGAGTTTAAATATTTGGGCACCATAGGAAAACACAGCTTACATCATGAAACTAACGAAAACTGTTCAAATTTGTAATTAGATTTACTGCAGGAAGGAACATGGTTATTAGCTCAACATTCTTCCCATACCGGAATATACATAAATCGACATGGATCACACCAAGAACCAAATAGATCATGTGTTAATAGATAAAGATTTGCCTCAATTATCGTAGACTTGAAAATAAAAAGAAGATCCTACTGCGGATAGGGATGCAAACGATACATCGATTTTTCGAAAACATCGATGTTTTAATAGCGATGTTGAAGTCCATAAAACATCGATACATCGTTCATTATGAACGATATTTTATCTTCGATGTTTGATAAAATAATCGACCATTATTACCATGTTTGTATAAAAGAGCAATAAAATATTTGCCACTGTTAGCAACTTCATTGTCTAACGAACAGAAGTTGGCGCAACAATTAATCAGGAAAGGAATCGCTTATTAGGCACCAGGTTGTCAAAGTTAAGGTTTTTGAATTCTATACTTAAAAATAAATTTAAATAACATTATCTATGTGTTTGATCATATTATAATAAATGGACCGCGTTATACATCACTTGACTAAGCGACATTTTATCGTTTTTAGAGATTTTCATGCTGTCTGGTAAGTAAAGGTGTAACATCATAGAAAAAATGCAAAATACCGAAAGACCTAAAATACTATTTGTTTTAAAGGATAAAGCTAAGCGCCAATCACGTGTTTATTGAAATTAAGGAATAAGATTTGTTCTAAATTAAAGCTCAAAGCTTTCTCTTTAAAATGGTGTATAATAATTGTTGGGTTGGGTTGGAAAAATATTGAGAAAAAAAATGTTGAAACAAAACTTACATTTTCGTATAACCTAAAAGTGTCAAAAAAGATGCTAATTTAAAAATTCCTGGAAGCCGTATTTATTGAAATTAAGGAATGA